ATATTAGGGAAGAAAGGGTTTCTTTTATTTGCGATTTTAACTCTCAAAGTCATTCTTTCCATAAAATTTTAAAAAAGCACTGGCACATTTTAAAACAAAATGAGGAGTTGTACTCCTTTATAGGAGATAAACCACGGGTAATATATAGGGGTGCCAATAATTTTAAAAATATTTTAACCCATAGTTATATTCTGAAGGAAATAGGGTTAAACAAAGATGTACATGGAAATACCCTAAGAGGTTTTTATAACTGTGGAAACTGTAGAGCGTGCAAAACTAGTAGAATTCTAACTAGAAAAACAGAAAAATTTCAGTCTAATATAACGAATAAGGAATATAGTGTTAAAGAGTTCATAACTTGCAGTTCTAACAATATTATTTATTTATTAACGTGTATATGTGGCCTGCAATACGTGGGTCGAACTATACGACCATTGAAAATCAGGATCAGTGAACATTTGAGAAATATACAGAATGGGGTTTTAACCCATTCTGTGTCTGCCCATATACACCAAAAACATAATGGAGATATAAAAGTACTGCATTTCATGGGAATTCAGAAGGTTTTAAAACCCTGGAGAGGGGGTGACCATGTAAAGATCCTCAACAAAACAGAAATGAGATGGATCTTTGACTTGGAAACCCTCTCTGCTCAAGGGTTAAATATCGACTTTGATATGTATAATTACATTTAATTTTAAATAACTATTTACACTATAAGTACCTGATAGTTTTATATTTACTTGTAGCGTGCATTCTATATTGTGTTAATTATTTTATATACTCCCTTCTTTCCCCTTTATTTAATGTATGGACATTTAATATGGACATTATGGACTTCAAGCTGTGATTCCCAGAGTCCATATATTCAGAGACCAAAGGAACGATCTTTGGAACGCATAGTAAATCTCTTTGGAACGCATGGAGGATCTGATTGGTTTTTCGTGGAACGCATAAAACCCGGAAGTGAAACGCATAGTGCAGAAAACCGGAAGTGAAACAGCCGCGACTACAGTAGCCGGATGGGATCGAAAGAAGAATGAAAATCTGCACGGTCGATTGGTTGTTGGGCAAAGGGGGCGGGTTGGAGGTACCCGTTTCCCCGCGCTCTTTTTTATATTTAAATGTATTTGAAGCTTGTGATTTAATGTTGCACCTGAGGAAGACGAGTGAGTTCGTCGAAACGCGTTGTGCTGTGTGTATGGTACTTACCTGTGGACGGCATCATCATTACTTTGATGTAAGATTTTTATATTTTTTATCAATAAATGGTTATACTTGACTTCTAATTTGTATGCCTGTTCTACACTATTTACTTCGAGGAACAAGCTTCATACAGAGGAATATCCTTGAAACCATCAAGAAACACCATCACCCAATACAGACTTTCAGAAAGGGGATGTATTATTGAATCTTATACCATCTGATCCTGTATATTCTGGGGTATTTGTGTGTGTTCTTTGATTGGGTTTACACTATTATAGTGCATGCATTATATTGTATTTGGTGGTAATATTGATTAGCGCTGCACACTACTGTTGTTTGTGTTCACAGTTATATAAGTGAAGAGTCATTAGCTTCATATGGCTCTGATGGAAAGCGTAGGACGACGCTTAGAGGAGGTCCAACTCCTATTACTCCTGGTCTCTGTTGTATACCTCTGGTAACCTGGACACAGGATGCTGGAGATGTAGCTTGTAAAATATGCTTTTATTCAAGTAAATCATTAAAATAAAATTATATAAAAGTATTAAAGTCTTTGGGGGTATGTGGACACCATGGTCCCAAAGTGTCCACATACCCCCAAAAACTTTTTATACTTTTATATAATTTTACATATATACAGTTGCAAGAAAACGTATGTGAACCCTTGGGAATGATATGGATTTCTGCACAAATTGGTCATAAAATGTGATCTGATCATCATCTAAGTCACAACAATAGACAATCACAGTCTGCTTAACCCCTTAAGGACGGAGCCAAATGTACACATTGTGAACAAAACAAAATGTAAACAAAACCTGGCATTTGCGCTACATGTCTGTCCAACCGTAATACACCTCTTTCATAGTAAATGCACCCACCCTTATTATATATCATTTTATTCAGGGGAAACAAGGCTTTCATTTAATATCAAATATTTAGCTATGAAACATAATTTAATATGAAAAAAATGGGAGAAAATACGATTTTTTTGATTTTTTTTAGTTCTAAATTGCATTTTAAAGGTCAGTGTCATAATACTGTTTGCTTTTACTGCAATAAAATACACATATTTATATTCAGTAAAGTCTCACGTGTAAAACAGTACCCCCTATGTACAGGTTTTATAGCGTTTTGGGAAGTTACAGGGTCAAATATAGCATGTTACATTTGAAATTGAAATTCGCCAGATTGGTTACGTTGTCTTTGGGACTTTATAGTAGCCCAGGAAAGAAATTTACACCCATAATGGCATATCATTTGCAATATTAGACAACCCAAGGTATTGCAAATGGGGTATGTCCAGTCTTTTTTAGTAGCCATTTGGTCACAAACACTGGCCAAAGTTAGTGTTAGTATTTGTTTGTGTGTGAAAAATGCAAAAAACGCCAATTTTGGCCAGTGTTTGTGACTAAGTGGCTACTAAAAAAGACTGGACATACCCCATTTGCAATACCTTGGGTTGTCTACTATTGCAAATGGTATGCCATCATAAGGGTAATTTTCATTCTTGGGCTACCATAGGGTCTCAAAGGCAACGTAACCAATCTGGCGAATTTTAATGTGAAAAAAATGAAACACAAGCCCTATATTTGACGCTGTAACTTTTGAAAACACCATAAAACCTGTACATGAGGGGTACTGTTGTACTCGGGAGACTTCGCTGAACACAAATATTTGTGTTTCAAAACAGTAAAAGTATCACAGCAATAATATTGTCCGTGTAATGCTGTTTGTGCGTGAAAAATGCAAAAAACGTCACTTTTACTGGCGATATCATCGTTGTAATACATTTTACTGTTTTGAAACACTAATATTTGTGTTCAGCGAAGTCTCCCGAGTAGAACAGTACCCCCCATGTACAGGTTTTATGGTGTCTTGGAAAGTTATAGGGTTAAATATAGTGCTAGCAAATTAAATTCCCTTTACTTTCGGCATGGGTTGTCAGGCAGGTCCTGCTAATTGTAATTAATTAAGATACCTAATTATGTAAAAATATTACATAAATATATATGTAGAATTAATATATGTATATATACGTATGTGTATATATATGTATATATCTATATAATTTTTTTTAAATATTTTTATTTATATATAGGTATATATATAGTGATATATATGTATATATTTATGTATATAGATATATATATTATTTCGTTCTACGTGTATTTTGATATATATATATATATATATTAATTTCACAAAACAGTTAGAACGAAATAACACACATCTATATATTTTTTTATTATTTATTTTTAATTATTTTTTGAATTTTATTTTTTAACGTATTTACATTTTTATTTTTTTTATATTATATATAAATATATATATAACAATAATTATATATATATTTAATCAGTATCAGTCTACGTGTAATTTGATATTAATATGTATATATAATTATATATATATTAATAGTAAAATACACCTAGACGGTGTACGTGTGTGTATGTATATGTGTATATATATACTTAGATCATATATATATAATATATACATATGATCTAAGTATATATTATTATTTTTTTACACCAATAAATTTAATTTAAATTTTATTTCCAGCCAGCAGGGGGACCACCTGTCATTACAGGCAGCCCCCCTGCTGGCAATGCAGGAGGCAGCCTACCCGGCCATGTGATTGTGGGGTCCTCGCTAGGACCCCACTCTCACATGGCCGGGGAGCACCGGAGGAGAAGGATCTGCCGCTGGGGGGCTCCCTGGGGGCGTACAATTACGCCCGGCGGCGTTTAGAGCCGCCTATAATAGGGCGTAATTGTACGTCCTCCGGTTTTAAGGGGTTAAGCTAATAACTGACAAAGAAATGTTGCCATGTTTTTATTGAACACACCATGTAAACATTCACAGTGCAGGTGGAAAAAGTATGTGAACCCCTAGACTAATGACATCTAATTGGACAGAGCTAATTGGATTTAGATGTCAGCCAACTGGAGTCCAATCAATGAGATGAGATTGGAGGTGTTGGTTACAGCTGCCCTGTCCTATAAAAAACACACACCAGTTCTGGGTTTGCTTTTCATAAGAAGCATTGCCTGATGTGAATGATGCCTCTCACAAAAGAGCTCTCAGAAGACCTACGATTAAGAATTGTTGACTTGCATAAAGCTGGAAAGGGTTATAAAAGTATCTCCAAAAGCCTTGCTGTTCATCAGTCCATGGTAAGACAAATTGTCTATAAATGGAGAAAGTTCAGCACTGCTGCTACTCTCCCTGGGAGTGGCCGTCCTGTAAAGATGACTGCAAGAGCACAGCGCAGACTGCTCATTGAGGTGAAGAAGAATCCTAGAGTGTCAGCTAAAGACTTACAAAAGTCACTGGCAAATGCTAACATCCCTGTTAGCGAATCTACAATACGTAAAACATTAAACAAGAATGGATTTCATGGGAGTATACCACAGAGAAAACCATTGCTGTCCAAACAAAACATTGCTGCACGTTTACAGTTTGCACAAGAGCACCTGGATGTTCCACAGCAGTACTGGCAAAATATTCTTTGGACAGATGAAACCAAAGTTGAGTTGTTTGGAAGAAACACACAACATTATGTGTGGCGAAAAAAGGCACAGCACACCAACATCAAAACCTCATCCCAACTGTGAAGTATGGTGGTGGGGGCATCATGGTTTGGGGCTGCTTTGCTGCGTCAGGGCCTGGACGGATTGCTATCATCGAAGGAAAAATGAATTCCCAAGTTTATCAAGACATTTTGCAGGAGAACTTAAGGCCATCTGTCTACCAGCTGTAGCTCAACAGAAGATGGGTGTTGCAACAGGACAATGACCCAAAGCATAGAAGTAAATCAACAACAGAATGGCTTAAACAGAAGAAAATACGCCTTCTGAAGTGGCCCAGTCAGAGTCCTGACTTCAACCCGATTGAGATGCTGTGGCATGACCTCAAGAAAGCGATTCACACCAGACATCCCAAGAATATTGCTGAACTGAAACAGTTCTGTAAAGAGGAATGGTCAAGAATTACTCCTGACCGTTGTGCACGTCTGATCTGCAACTACAGGAAACGTTTGGTTGAAGTTATTGCTGCCAAAGGAGGTTCAACCAGTTATTAAATCCAAGGGTTCACATACTTTTTCCACCTGCACTGTGAATGTTTACATGGTGTGTTCAATAAAAACATGGCAACATTTCATTCTTTGTGTGTTATTAGTTTAAGCAGACTGTGATTGTCTATTGTTGTGACTTAGATGATGATCAGATCACATTTTATGACCAATTTGTGCAGAAATCCATATCATTCCAAAGGGTTCACATACTTTTTCTTGCAACTGTGTTTGTGTATATAATATATTTCTACATATGTATTGATGTAATAATTTTAGATAATTAGGTAATTTTATTAATTACAATTTGCGGGACCTGCCTGAGAACCCAGGCCGAAAGTCCAGGGAATTTAATTTGCTAGCACTATATTTAATCCTGTAACTTTCCAAGACACCATAAAACCTGTACATGGGTTTTACTCAGAAGACTTCGCTGAACACAAATATTAGGGTTTCAAAACAGTAAAATGTATTGCATCGATAATATCGTCAGTGGAAGTGAAATTTATTGCATTTTTCACTCACAAATGGCACTTACACTGACGATATAATTGTGATACGTTTTACTCTTTTGAAACACTAATATTTGTGTTCAGCGAAGTCTCCCGAGTATAACAGTACCCCTCATGTACAGGTTTTATTGTGTTTTCAAAAGTTACAGAGTCAAATATAAGGCTTGCATTTCAGGTTTTTCACGTTGAAATTTGCCAGATTGGTTACGTTGCCTTTGAGACCGTATGGTAGACCAGGAATGAGAATTACCCCCATGATGGCATACCATTTGCAAAAGTAGACAACCCAAGGTATTGCAAATGGGGTATGTCCAGTCTTTTTTAGTAGCCACTTGGTCACAAACACTGGCCAAAATTGGCGTTGAAATTAGTTTTTTGCATTTTTCACACACAAATATGAACACTAGCTTTGGCCAGTGTTTGTGACCAAGTGGCTTCTAAAAAAAACCGGATATTCCCTATTTGCAATACCTTGGGTTGTCTACTTTTGCAAATGGTATGCAATCATTGAGGTAATTCTCATTCCTGGGCTACCATACGGTCTCAAAGGCAACGTAACCAGTCTGGCGAATTTCAATGTGAAAAAACTTAAAAATGTAATGTGCTATATTTGACTATGTAACTTCCCACATCACCATAAAACCTGTACATAAGGGGTACTGTTTTGCTGAATACAAATATGTGTATTTTATTGCAGTAAAAGTAAGCAGTATTATGACATTCACAGTTAGGATGTCACGTAGAACTAAACATTTTTTAAAATTTTTATTTTCTCCCTCTTTTTAATATTTTATTCATATTAAATTATGTTTCATACATAAATATTTGAGGATAAATGAAAGCCCTGTTTCCCCTGAATAAAATGAAATATAATAAGTGTGGGTGCACATAATATGAAAGAGGCGAATTACGCCTGAACAGACATATAGCGCAAATTCAAGTTTTTGTTTACGTTTTGTTTTGATCACAACGTGTACATTTTGCTCAGTCCTTAACCCCTTAAGGACTGGACTGTTTTTGCGATGTTGTACGTTTGCAACCAGGAATATTTTTACACTTTTCTGGTGTTTGTGTTTAGCTGTTATTTTCCGCTCTCTCATTTACTGTTCCCATACAAATTATATATTGTTTTTTCAGGACAAAAGGGGCTTTCTTTACATACCATTATTTATATAATCTCATGTATTTTAATTTAAAAAAAATAAAAAAATATGATGAAAAATTGAAAAAAATACATGTTTTTTGACTTTTACTTGAAAAATCTTTTACTCATCTACAAAAGCGAATGAAAAAAACAGCTAAATAGATTCAAAATTTTGTCCTGAGTTTAAAAATACCCAGTGTTTACATGCTTTTTTGCTTTTTTTTGCAAGTTATAGGGCTATAGGTACAAGTAGGATATGGCGGTTTCAAAACAAAATTTTTTTAAATGTATCAATAGTGACATTGTAACACTATTATCTGTCATAAATCTCTGGAAAACACTCCACATGTATATATTTTTTTTAAAGTAGACAACCCAGGGTATTCATCTAAGGATATTTTGACACTTTCTATGCAGCCATTTTACCACAAGTCTTTGCCAAACTTTGCATAGATAGTTGTTTTTTTTGTTTTTTTCACATACATTGCAATTCAGGTATAAACTTACAGATCCTGTTATGTCTTGCTGCCAAACAACACGCCAATATGTGTTCAGCAACATCTCCTGAGTACAGTGATACCACCCATGCATAGGCTTGTCGGATTGTTTGGGGGCTAAAAGGCCACATTTGGCAGGTGCGCATATCCATTTTTCAACTTGGAATTTTGACATGTAGTCAACCTGCGCACATGTCCTATTTGGGACATTTGTAAGGCCGGCCAATGTATTTTACCCCCACCAAACCATATATTTTTGGAAAGTAGACACCCTAGGGTATTTCAAATGGTGTTTTTTTTAACACTTTCCATGCACTAATTCTACCACCAGACATTGTCAAACATTTAGGTAGTAATTTTTTGTGTGTTTTTTTTCACACACATTGTACTTTAGGCATGAATTAACAAATCGTGTTATGTGTCACTGCCAAACAACACGCCAATATGTGTTCAGCAACATCTCCTGAGTACAGTGATACCACCCATGCATAGGCTTGTCGGATTGTTTGGGGGCTAAAAGGCCACATTTGGCAGGTGCGCATATCCATTTTTCAACTTGGAATTTTGACATGTAGTCAACCTGCGCACATGTCCTATTTGGGACATTTGTAAGGCCGGCCAATGTATTTTACCCCCACCAAACCATATATTTTTGGAAAGTAGACACCCTAGGGTATTTCAAATGGTGGTTTTTTAACACTTTCCATGCACTAATTCTACCACCAGACTTTGTCAAACATTTAGGTAGTCATTTTTTGTGTGTTTTTTTTCACACACATTGTACTTTAGGCATGAATTAACAAATCGTGTTATGTGTCACTGCCAAACAACACGCCAATATGTGTTCAGCAACATCTCCTGAGTACAGTGATACCACCCATGCATAGGCTTGTCGGATTGTTTGGGGGCTAAAAGGCCACATTTGGCAGGTGCGCATATCCATTTTTCAACTTGGAATTTTGACATGTAGTCAACCTGCGCACATGTCCTATTTGGGACATTTGTAAGGCCGGCCAATGTATTTTACCCCCACCAAACCATATATTTTTGGAAAGTAGACACCCTAGGGTATTTCAAATGGTGGTTTTTTAACACTTTCCATGCACTAATTCTACCACCAGACTTTGTCAAACATTTAGGTAGTCATTTTTGTGTGTTTTTTTTCACACACATTGTACTTTAGGCATAAATTAACAAATCGTGTTATGTGTCACTGCCAAACAACACGCCAATATGTGTTCAGCAACATCTCCTGAGTACAGTGATACCACCCATGCATAGGCTTATCGGATTGTTTAGGGGCTAAAAGGCCACATTTGGCAGGTGCGCATATCCATTTTTCAACTTGGAATTTTGACATGTAGTCAACCTGCCACATGTCCTATTTGGGACATTTGTAAGGCCGGCCAATGTATTTTACCCCCACCAAACCATATATTTTTGGAAAGTAGACACCCTAGGGTATTTCAAATGGTGGTTTTTTAACACTTTCCATGCACTAATTCTACCACCAGACATTGTCAAACATTTAGGTAGTCATTTTTGTGTGTTTTTTTTCACACACATTGTACTTTAGGCATGAATTAACAAATCGTGTTATGTGTCACTGCCAAACAACACGCCAATATGTGTTCAGCAACATCTCCTGAGTACAGTGATACCACCCATGCATAGACTTGTCGGATTGTTTGGGGGCTAAAAGGCCACATTTGGCAGGTGCGCATATCCATTTTTCAACTTGGAATTTTGACATGTAGTCAACCTGCGCACATGTCCTATTTGGGACATTTGTAAGGCCGGCCAATGTATTTTACCCCCACCAAACCATATATTTTTAGAAAGTAGATACCCTAGGGTATTTCAAATGGTGTTTTTTTAACACTTTCCATGCACTAATTCTACCACCAGACATTGTCAAACATTTAGGTAGTAATTTTTTGTGTGTTTTTTTCACACACATTGTACTTTAGGCATGAATTAACAAATCGTGTTATGTGTCACTGCCAAACAACACACCAATATGTGTTCAGCAACATCTCCTGAGTACAGTGATACCACCCATGCATAGGCTTGTCGGATTGTTTGGGGGCTAAAAGGCCACATTTGGCAGGTGCGCATATCCATTTTTCAACTTGGAATTTTGACATGTAGTCAACCTGCGCACATGTC